ATCTGACACTCAAGAAGAAGGTCTGATCTCATTATTACTGAAACAGGATACAAGTGGAAAATATAAAGATCCAGTCCATTTACAAAATTGGAGGCCCCTTACACTTCAGTGTTGTGATGCGAAAATCCTGGCAAAATGTATAGCGCATAGAATTAAAAAGGTATTGTCGGATATTATTCATTCTAATCAGACAGGTTTTTTACATGGAAGATACATTGGAGATAATATAAGGCAAGTATTGGAAACAATAGAACACTGTGGAAAATATGGGAAACCAGGCCTGCTATTCATAGCAGACTTCGAAAAGGCATTTGATAAAGTTCGACTGGAATTTATATATAAATGCCTGGAGCATTTCAATTTTGGAGAATCTCTTATAAAATGGGTCAAAATCATGTATAGTAACCCTAGGTGTAAAATAGTAAATAATGGCTATTTCTCAGAAAGTTTTAAACTGTCAAGAGGAGTGAAACAAGGTTGTCCACTATCGGCATATCTATTTATTGTGGCCATCGAGATGTTAGCTATTAAAATCAGATCCAATAATAATATCAGAGGATTAGAAATACAGGGCTTAAAAACAAAGGTGTCATTGTACGCAGATGATTCATGTTTTCTTTTAGATCCACAACTAGAATCCCTCCACAGCCTCATAGAGGATCTAGATACATTTTCTAACCTCTCTGGATTAAAACCAAATTATGATAAATGTACTATATTACGTATTGGATCACTAAAAAATACAATTTTTACATTACCATGTAGTTTACCAATAAAATGGTCTGATGGTGATGTGGATATACTCGGAATACATATCCCAAAGGAAATAAATGATCTCACTTCAATAAATTTTAATAGAAAGTTAGCAAAAATAGATAAGATCTTACTACCATGGAAAGGAAAATACCTGTCAATTTGTGGGAAAATCACCCTGATTAACTCTTTAGTATTATCCCAGTTTACCTATTTGCTTATGGTCTTGCCTACGCCTAGCAAACAGTTTTTTAAATTATATGAGAAAAAAATATTCAATTTTATTTGGAACGGCAAGCCAGACAAAATTAAAAGAGCATATTTATATAATGAATATGAATTCGGAGGACAGAAATTATTAAATATTAAAGCATTAGACCTATCACTAAAATCTTCAGTCATCCAAAAGTTATACTTAAATCCGAACTGGTTCTCAAGCAAATTAGTAAGATTGTCTCACCCACTGTTCAAGAAAGGCCTTTTTCCCTTTATTCAGATTACAACCTCTCACTTTCAGTTATTTGAAAAGGAAATAATCTCCCAAATGTCACTATTTCTAAAACAAGCCATAGAAAGTTGGTTGCAATTTCAATTTAATCCTCCAGAAACGACAGAACAAATAATGCAACAAATATTGTGGTTAAATTCAAATATACTAATTGACAAAAAACCTTTATTTTCTGACAGAATGTTTAAAAAAGGTATAATCTTCGTAAATGATATCATCGGTAGGACTGGTGGAGTTATGTCGCACATGCAGCTAACAAAAACATATGGAAATGTCTGCTCTATCCAAAATTACAACCAAATAATTGCAGCCTTACCGCAAAAGTGGAAGAGGAAAGTTGAAGGGGGAGAAAGTAAGGAACTTGTCTGTCGGCCTTGCATTAAAGAACATAATTGGTTAAGGAAAACTGTGATAAATAAAAAAGTATATCAGTTTCACTTAAGGACCAAAGGATTGACAGCCGTCCCATATAGATTGCAAAATAGTTGGGAAGAGATCTTTGACGTACCGATCCCATGGCATAGTGTTTATGAACTGACACGCAAAACGACACCGGATTCAAAAATTAGAATCTTTCAATTTAAATTATTATATAAAATTCTTGCTACCAATAGAATGTTATTTATATGGGGGATACATTCTTCCCAGCGCTGCAGATTTTGCTGTGAAGAGATAGAATCATTAGATCATTTGTTTTGGTTCTGTCCATTTGTAGCTTGTTTTTGGACACAGGTCCAGGAATGGCTAAAGGATTGCAATATTTACCTGGAACTAACCTTGCAGATAGCATTACTGGGTGATCTGAAAAGTCATAGTCAATCAATCAATAATATAATAATACTTTTAGCAAAAATGTTTATTTTTAATTCACAATCTGTAGAAGCAATGAGAATAGAAAGGTTCAGAACTTTTGTAAAACATCACAGTACGGTTGAAATATATATGGCAAATAGAAATCCTATATGGATGGTGTTAAGAGATAGATGGGAGGTATTGAATAGAGTTGAAGGATGGGACTAATAACAAATAACAACAAATAATAACAAAGATAGCTAATAATGTAAGCATACTGTGTCCATAATAAGTATATAGGTTGTATGTTGGGAGCTTTTGGGAAAGAGCACAGTTAGAAAGATATGGCATTTAGAAGCAAACCGGATGGACATCATGAAAATGATCGGAGAGGTTGAGAGTAGAAGAGGTTCAGGAGCAAAAAAATTAATAAATATATATATATATATATATATATATATATATATATATATATATATATAGAATTATTGTAAAATTAACTCTGTCCATAAGGTGTAGATAGTAAGTATAGACCGGAAGTAGAGGCCTGGGCGTTGTTGTTCACTAATTTACTCCAAGTAGGGAAAGGATGGTGGGGTTGAAAAGTAATAAAGGGGAATATATATATACAAAATAAAAAAAACATGGGGGATTGGAAGTGATGCAGACAATTACATTGATAGAAGATACAATCTATCTGCAATATTAAGCTGATCCATCCCCCCCCAAAAAAAAAAAAAAAAAAAAAAAATATATATATATATATATATATATATATATATATATATTTCAGATTTTGTTCAATGATTCCACTGTGTCTGTAGTATTCTCTCTACCACTGCAGTACTTTTACAGGGATGTATTTACATGTAGTACCATAATGAAACATGTATCACCTTTTGTACTACAATATTAAATGATTGTACGAACAATGACACAGTGAAACTATCGGTTGCTTGTGTGTGGGTGATCTAAATTAACGTTTCATTGGTATTTCACAATACATTTGTTTTTTGAACCAATGATTGTGCAAGTGCAATATTTCTTTAAAGATATGAAGCACAATACAATGTTTTGAACATTGGACAGCCTGTGTTACAAGTGATGACCGTTTTGAGTTTTGTGTCTAGAGTTTTGAAAAATGACGTCAAGGTTCTGAAATTAGTGCCAAAGTGATTGTAAAAAACTGTAAATGAGTTACAGGTTTGGGTCATGTTGCCTCATGGGCCAGTTTCAGTGTGTAAACAATTGGGAAAAACTGTAACGCTATCTTCACTCTTGTATTTGGTATGCAGCATTACCAAAGCCTGTTTATATTGATCTCTGCACGTTCAGGTGTGTTCCGTGTTGTTCTGTGTTGTTCAGGTGTGTTTTGTGTCATTCAGGTGTGTCTGTGTTGTTCAGGTGTGTCTGTGTTGTTCAGGTGTGTCTGTGTTGTTCAGGTGTGTTCTGGGTTGTTCAGTTGTGTTCTGGGTTGTTCAAGTATGTTGTTCAGGTGTGTTCTGGGTTGTCCAGGTGTGTTGTGTTGTTCCAGTATGTTGTTCTGTGTGTTTTGGGTTATTCAGGTGTGTTCTGGGTTGTTCAAGTATGTTGTTCTGTGTTTTTTGGGTTGTCCAGGTGTGTTCTGGGTTGTCCAGGTGTGTTATGTGTTGTTCAGGTGTGTTGTTCCAGTGTGTTGTACAGGTGGGTTATCGCCACATTGTTTATTGTCAGCGATTAACGAGCTTCTACTGTCCAGCCGTGATCTCATCAGGAGTAATCCAGTCTAACCTCTTATCTCCCAACTCTCACCATGGGGTGGAAATGGATCAGATCAACGTGAAAACCCACTTCATCTCCGTAGGCCACTTCTGAGACACCTTCCAAGCTGTCCCTGTTTTAACCTCAGGCATATGGGTGAGATTATGGACAGTGCAGTATGTAGGTCGGGGGTGGGCAAACCTTTTGGCTCAAGGGCCACATCAAGATTTCGTAATTCAACGGAATGCCGCAAAGATTTGTTTTTGACTGATTTGTTTGTCCAAATCAATTTGCTGGCCAGAAAAAGGTCAGCTGATGAAACTGTGGGTTTGCACAACCGAAGAATTTCTGCACAAACTGTCAGAAACCGTCTCAGTGAAGCTCATCTGCATGCTCGTTTTCCTCTCTAGGGTCTTGACCTGACTGCAGTTCGGCATCATAACCGACTTCAGTGGGCAAATGCTCACCTTAGATGGCCACTGGAGAACTGTGCTCTTCACGGATGAGGCCCATTGTTGTGCCATTCATCTGCTGCCATCAGCTCATGTTTCAGCATGATAATGCGCGGCTCCATGTCACAAGGATTTGTACACAATTCCTGGAAGCTGAAAATGTCAGATTTTCTGATCCATGCTCTTATCTTTTTTTTATAGTATATGTGACCAACATATGCATATCTGTATTCCCAGTCATGTGAAATCCATAGATTAGGGCCTAATTAATTTATTTCAATTGACGGATATCCTAATATGAACTGTAACTCAGTAAAATCTTTGAAATTGTTGAATGTTGCATTTATATTTTTGTTCAGTGTAACTTTGAGGTTCGTTGTGGCGCTCGGTCTCAGTGTTGATCTCAAAGGTACCTCAGGTATGGTTCTCAGTTTAGTGAAGTATATCGCTCTTTATAAACTGGGTGTTTTGAGCCCTGAAAGCTGTGGTATATCAGACCGTATACCAAGGTTATGACAAAGCATTTATTTTTACTCTTCTAATTACGTTGGTAACCAGTTTATAATAGCAATAAGGCACCTCAGGGGTTTGTGATATATGGCCAATATACCACGGCTAAGGTCTGTATCCAGGCACTCCGCGTTACCTTGTGTGTAAGAATATCCCTTAGCCACGGTATATTGGCCATATACCACACCCACTTGGGCCTTACTGCTTAAATACAGTCTTGATCAAACTTGGATGCAACTCAGAGATTTGTTGAAAAAAAAAATATTTATTTTCACACACACACTTGACTTGACAGAACACACCAACCTAATTGAGCAACCCTTCCCTTCAGACAATGGGTGGCAGAGGTGAGCTTCTTCCCTCTTGCCTCGCAACACGGTCTATTCATTTCTACAGCGCTGCTATGGATCCATCCATCGGCCCTGGATGCCTCTTCTCATGCCAGCATGCTTAAGGAATTCAGCACAGGCTGTGCTGACAACTTAGCAAGCTCCTGTAGAGGAAAGAGAAACATAAGTTAGGTTAGGGAGCATGAATAAGTTATCTTCCTAAGATTGTGAATATTTCTGATTGTATTTTAACTACAACTCTAAGCTCCCTCTTATCTTTCATTCATTCATCAGGATGCTTTGCTTCATGTTCATTGCAATTATCTAGATGTGATCTCATTTGTTTTCATGCTGTGTCCCTATAGACAGGTGTCCAACTCACCGGACTGCAGGACAGGCTCGAACTGGCCAGCCATGCAGATCTCCTCCTGTTTCCCACGGACGATGCGCTGGATGGCTGGGGGCAGGCCACGGGGGTTACGGGAGAAGATCAGGGAGTAACCATCCTCACAGCTTCCATCCTCCTTCAGGGTACGGCAGGCGTAGGTGATGGCATAGTTGTCATAGTCGGTGTCAATCACCCAGTAGTTGTCACCTCCACTGGACAGGTAGCTGGCTAACCCCTGGTAGTTCATAAACATCTTGCCGGGGGTGGTGGGGTTAGGCACACTGTACTGGGCAGCCATGTCAGCACACACAACCCAGAACCTGTCATCACAACAACACACACTCATTAGAACACAACCCAGAACCTGTCATCACAACAACACACACTCATTAGAACACAACCCAGAACCTGTCATCACAACAACACACACTCATTAGAACACAACCCAGAACCTGTCATCACAACAACACACACTCATCAGCACACAACCCAGAACCTGTCAACACAACAACACACACTCATCAGCACACAACCCAGAACAAACTCAAACTCATATCAGCTCTCACAAATCAGAACCGGTGGTCAAATACAAACACAACATTATTGCGATCTATAACCTACACTGTAAACTGTTGTCTATATTTCCTGTCCACAAAATCTTGTGGTCTAACAGACAAATAGTTTATATTAATGTTCAGATATCAATCCACATTCTTCCGTACAATTAGACAATTAGTTTAGCCTCTATGCTTGATATGCTAGTTCTTCCAAGTTGATATAGATCTGCTCACCCGAAGAGAGTAACACGTCCCTTGGAGGAGGCGGTCATGGTGCCGTCATCATCGATGGTGTACTCAGCAGAGATGTTGTCCTGGAGGAACAGTCCCTCAGGGTCCTTCTTCTGAAGAGCATACCATTTCCCTGCATACTGCAACAGAGAGAACCAGAATAAAACCAGAAAGGTGAGAAACACTCTCACACACCGTAGACAGTGATGGAGATGAGGATGGAAATCCAGAGCACTAAATGTATATATGGAGATTCAAGACTTTATCAGTAGATCATTATAGTAATCTCTTATGCATTTACGTTACACATTCTCGTATAGCCATGTTTATCCGATCATGTTTAAAACTGACATTTTTCGCTTGTTTTTGTTTGTCTAGGGATGTGACCCATAATGTATGTACTGTAGCAAAGCTCACCCTCTTCGGTTCAAAGTCCTCCTTGACTGTGAAGCTGTCGACCACGCAGGAGGCAGACCAGGCGTGTTCCACGCAGGCCATCAGGACCATGAGGAGAGCCAGCTTTGATGATCCCATGCTGCACAGCACAGAGAGAGAGAGACAATGGGGATTAACTGATACACACCAGATCAGGCGAGAGAGCCTCAAATCAAGTTAGTAAACATTCAATGCATTCCTAGAGACACTGTAGTAGTTGGAGTAAAATTATATCAAAAATAGCTGTTCTTATAAAATAAATTGAGGTACGATGGTCATTCTGTTACATATTCATAGGGTCTTGAGGTAGAAATGAGCTGTCTAATCCCATATTTTGCATGCACATCTATACAAAAGCACAACTCATTCTTAGCTAGGTAGTATCTTCCAAAAACAATTCTTACTGTATTTAAGAACAATATTTACATTTTCAGTAAGATAATCAAGTTCTATTATAGCATAAAATATATCCACGGATCCTCTCTACCAAGTCGCTGGACCTTACCTGTCTTTGTAAAGATGAGCAGCAAGTAGAATTCAGTGATCTCTGTTTTGTGGTTGTCCGTTAGGTTATGGAGTCTCTTGTGTTTGGGGTCCTTTATATACACGAACACAGACAAGCTTACTGATTATTTTCACTTCTTGTAAGTAAATAAGGTGATTAAATCGCGGGTTAATCCGGTTGGTGAAATTCCGACTGTAATCTGGCTTCACCTCTGAACCCGCCCACGCCTCCCGTAAAAACAATTAGGGCTTTATGTAACTGCAAAGAAACAGACACACAAACACATACACACACACACACACACACACACACTTACAATGGGAAAATGTATTGTCCAAACACAGAGGACCAGTAGGATTAGAGAAATCATACCCAGCACTAATAAGCATTAGTTGTTCTGTTCCAGCACATAAATCATTACTATGCTGGTGATGGAATACTAGGGTCGTTCCACAAAATAAGTGTATTTTGTGTCCCTTTGATATTTTAAGTAGACATTTTGCACCAATATTGAATTTTAAAAGCCTGTTATATTCAATGAAGTTCCCTTTAATATAGACCACACAGAGAATACAATAAATCAGATATGTTATGCCAAAATAAAGACTTGCAAGTGCCAAAATTCAGCATTTTGACATGTTCCTCCATGCACCCTCTGTGACTTCCAGGAATATTTGTACCTACTTAACCCAAGTTTAAGATTTCACCATAATTGTAAAGCCCTAGTTATTTTGTTGCTTTGACAAAGTCATTTTTGAAGATTATTATTATTTATTTCATTTTAAGGTCAACCCTGCACTCTTAGAAAAAAAGGTGCTATCTAGAACCTAAAAGGGTTCTTCGGCTGTCCCCATAAGAGAACCATTTGAAGAACCCTTGTTGGTTCCAGGTAGAACCCTTTTGGTTCCAAGTAGAACCGTTTTGGGTCCCATGTAGAATCCTATCCACAGAGGGTTCTACATGGAACCCAAAATGGTTCTAAATAGAACCAAAAGTTTTTTTTTATCAGGAACCAAAAATGGTTCTCCTATGGGGACAGCCAAATAACCCTTTTTTCTAAGAGTGTGTTACTTGAACTTAAATCTCATTTTTACATTTTAGCCATTTAGCAGACGCTCTTATCCAGAGTGACTTACAGTAATGAGTGCATACATTGTCATTCTGGTCCCCGGCGGAAATCAAACCCACAACCCTGGCATTGCAAGTGCCATGCTCTATCAACTGAGCCACACGGGACTACTCTCATTTTAATATGTTGAAACTATTCCTTAAACTTTTTGTTTTGAAACTTTGAACATCTAATAGTCAAATCATAGTGTAAAAGCAGGTGAGCTGGTTCTACTCTTTTTGGCCATTTTCTGGTGTTTTGTGTTGGCAAACTGAGTAGGTCAGGCATAACACGTCAACCCTGTTACCTATAGATAGACAGGCTAGAAATGTTCTAAAAATGACATTTGTTTTGTGAAGCTTGCATTCAATTGGCCCTCCCTGTTGCACACAAGCTTCCATTCCCGCTGTCACAAGGGGATTTATGGCTGATTGAAAATGAAATCGTCAACCCTGTTACTTTATCTGTACTTACTTACTTATATTTTTGACAACTTTTACTTTTACTTCACTACATTCCTAAAGAAAATAATGTACGTTTTACTCCATATATTTTCCCTGACACCCTAAAGTACTTGTGACATTTTGAATGCTTAGCAGGACAGGACAATGGTCCAATTCACACACTTATCAAGAGAACACCCCTGGTCATCCCTACTGCATCTGATCTGGCGGACTTACTAAACACACACGCTTTGTTTGTAAATTATGTCTGAGTGTTGGAGTGTGCCCCTAGCTATCCGTGAAAAAAATAAAAAATTGTGCCGTCTGGTTTGCTTAATATAAGGAATGTGAAATTATTCATACTTTTACTTTTGATACTTAAGTATATTTTAGCAATTACATTTACTTTTAATACTTAAGTATATTTAAAACCAAATACTTTTAGACTTTTACTCAAGTAATATTTTACTGGGTGACTTTCACTTTTACTTGAGTCATTTTTTATTAAGGTATCTTTATTTTTACTCAAGTATTACAATTAGGTACTTTTTCCACCACTGTCCACCTGTTACCAGTATAAGACATGTGCACTCCAAGGTGTAATCCCAGTACCTGAAGCCTCCTGCCAGGAGCTGTCTGGAGCTGTCTGGAACTGTCTGGAGCTGTCTGGAACTGTCTGGAACTGTCTGGAACTGTCTGGAGCTGTCTGGAACTGTCTGGAGCTGTCTGGAGCTGTCTGGAGCTGTCTGGAACTGTCTGGAACTGTCTGGAACTGTCTGGAGCTGTCTGGAACTGTCTGGAACTGTCTGGAGCTGTCTGGAGCTGTCTGGAGCTGTCTGGAGCTGTCTGGAACTGTCTGGAGCTGTCTGGAGCTGTCTGGAACTGTCTGGAGCTGTCTGGAGCTGTCTGGAGTTCTCTGGAGCTGTCTGGAGTTCTCTGGGGACACCTGACTCTGAGGAGTGGACACAGAGGATGATGGCAAAGGGCCTGAATGATTGGCTAACGGGCTCAGCAGAGGAGTGGCACCACCCCTCTTCATTCCCTCTTCATTAATTTAACTAAAGGCACTTCCGGTAGTTAGCGCATTGTGTACTGTAGTCTTCCTCAACACTACTTTGAGGCATTACACCCAGTGTTATTGTCTATTTCTGGGATAGCTCTTTGGGCATTAGTAGTTATTTAGTTGTTCTGTAGTTCTTTAGTTGTTCTGCAGTTCTGTAGTTCTTTAGTTGTTCTGTAGTTCTGTAGTTGTTCTGTAGTTCTTTAGTTGTTCTGTAGTTCTGTAGTTCTTTAGTTGTTCTGTAGTTCTGTAGTTGTTCTGTAGTTCTGTAGTTCTTTAGTTGTTCTGTAATTCTTTAGTTGTTCTGTAGTTCTTTGAAAAACCACATACTGTGCTTGCAAACTCCAAGCTGATGCCTGTACTATATTTATGCTTGTAATCACACACTTGATCTTAGGCCTCAGGGAAGATTGTTGGCACATGGATGTCTGTTGACAATAGCATACAATATTGTACTGCGTTAGACAACCCACAGGTTTTTCTGTACAGGCGTTCAATGTTGGTATTTTAGTTACCAGGTTACAGTAATCATTTAGACCAGTGGAAAGTGAGTCTAGGTGTGTTGTTGCTTTTTATTCATTTGAACCTTTGGTAAAGAGGCTGAGAGGGAGCATACATTTGCTGACTATATCTAGCATATCAAATAAATTGAAATGACATTGAAGAATTCTAGTGCCAATAGAAAATAACGGAAGGCGTATGACAAACAATCAATGGTTCTAATAGGTACTGGTTAAACAAAATCTCTTGAATAGAATTTCGATGACATGAATCTCAAAGGCATGGTCAGCCTCAGCAGCAATGATTAACAGTACAAGCTCAATTAGCTTGGTCCTTAGTATGAGCCGGCTGCCATCTTGTGTTGTGTTGTAGCACTGTATCTCTAGGTTAAAATGTGACCCATGCACCATGGACATAATGCACCACAAGGGGTCAACAGTTCATTGGTGACGAACAGGTAATTTGTATTTGTATTTGTATTTGTATTTATTATGGATCCCCATTAGCTGCTGCCAAGCCAGCGAAATGAAGGCAGTTATACAAATGTAAAAACATGACAATACATTCATAACAGATTTCACAACACACTAAGTGTGTGCCCTCAGGCCCCGACTCCCCTAACACATATAGTGCATTCGGAAAGTATTCAGACCCCTTCATTTTTTCCACATTTTGTTACGTTACAGCCTTATTCTAAAATGGATTCAATAAAACAAATGACATCAATCTACACACAATGCCCCATAATGACAAAAGCTACAATTATTTTATATGTTTTTTGCAACTTTATAAAAATGTTCAAACAGAAATACCTTATTTATTTAAGTATTCAGACCCTTTGCTATGAGACTTGAAATTGAGTTCAGGTGCATCCTGTTTCCATTGATCATCCTTGAGATGTTTCTACAACTTGATTGGAGTCTATATAAGGTCCCACGGTTGACAGTGCATGTCAGAGCAAAAACCAAGCCACGAGGTCGAAGGAATTGTCTGTAGAGCTCCGAGACAGGATTGTGTCGAGGCACAGATCTGGGGAAGGGTACCAAGACATTTCTGCAGCTTTGAAGGTCCCCAAGAACACAGTGGCCTCCATCATTCTTAAATGGAAGAAGTTTGGAACCACCAAGACTCTTCCTAGAGCTGGCCGCCCGGCCAAACTGAGCAATTGGGGGAGAAGGGCCTTGGTCAGGGAGGTGACCAAGAACCCGATGGTCACTCTGAGAGAGCTCCAGAGGTCCTCTGTGGAGATGGGAGGACCTTCCAGAAGGACAACCATCTCTGCAGCACTCCACCAATCAGGCCTTTAGGGTAGAGTGGCCAAACGGAAGCCACTCCTCAGTGAAAGGCACATGACAGCCCACTTGGAGTTTGCCAAAAGGCACCTAAAGGACTCAGACCATGAGAAACAAGATTCTCTGGTCTGATGAAACCAAGATTGAACTCTTTGGCCTGAATGCCAAGCGTCACGTCTGGAGGAAACCTGGCACCATCCCTACGGTGAAGCATGGTGGTGGCAGCATCATGCTGTAGGGATGTTTTTCAGCGGCAGGGACTGGGAGACTAGTCAGGATCGAGGAAAAGATGAACAGAGCAAATTGCAGCGAGATCCTTGATGAAAACCTGATCAGGACCTCAGACTGTGGCTAAGGTTCACCTTCCAACAGGACAACGACCCCAAGCACACAGCCAAGACAACGCAGGAGTGGCTTCGGGACAAGTCTCTGAATGTCCTTGAGTGGCCCAGCCAGAGCCCGGACTTGAACACGATGGAACATCTCTGGAGAGACCTGAAAATAGCTGTGCAGTGGCGCTCCCCATCCAACCTGACAGAGCTTGAGAAGATCTGCAGAGAAGCATGGGAGAAACTCCCCAAATACAGGTATGCCAAGCTTGTAGCATCATACCCAATAAGACTCAAGGCTGTAATCGCTGCCAAAGGTGCTTCAACAAAGTACTGAGTAAAGCGTTTTTTATTTCTAATACATTAGCAAATATTTCTAGAAGCCTGTTTTTGCTTTGTCATTATGGGGTATTGTGTGTAGATTGATGAGGGAAAAAAACAATTGAATCCATTTTAGAATAAGGCTATAGCGTAACAAAATGTGGAAAAAGTCAAGGGGTCTGAATACTTTCCGAATGCACTGTATCTACAACACAAAATCCATGTGGACGTGTGTATAGTGCACATGTTATCATGTGTAAGGGCGTGCAATGGTAATGTAAAGGCGTGCGATGGTTGGATTAATATTACAGCTAGTATCATTAGATGCGTACATTTGTTAAATCCCTCATATCCATGTGTAGAGAGTAGCTTAGATTAGTATATTGCCTTGGGATCATATGCATTGACTGATCCACACTAGTTTCAGAGGTTTGTAATGTAATTGTGATGAAATAACTATTGAATCAATTTGATATTTATTATAAAATAATAGTAGTTATATATATATATATATATTGAATAACAAACATTACAGACTGTACTGTTTTATACACACTCATAAGCAAATGCTCGTAAGCATATACCCTCAAACAAAGAAAGACACGCGCAGGTTCATATGAACAAACGTTTTACTATGATACACCTCCCTCGCCAGCCTCATCTCACTCACAGGTAGCAGATCTGATAGTATGAATCTATTCATGTGGAGATTATCCAGCTGACCTTTTGTATAAGATGGTTAAGGAACCTTAATATAGCCGGGGTGGAAAGATTATTGGCATTTTATTATCAGGCTTGTCTTATTGTCTCATAGACCCCCAAACATCTCTGTCTGTCTCTCTATCCGTCTGTCTCTCACCTAATCATTATTATTTATAAATTCAATATTGTGATTGTATGATAACAGATACTGCAGCATAATCATTGAACTTACATCTTAAGTAAAGCTTTCTTCTCCACAAACCTTAAATGTAATTAAGGTTTGTTAACTAAGTTAACTAAGGTTTTTCTGCTTCTGAAGGCTACTACCAGCAGAGTCCTGTGAAGGCTATAGGCTCCCATAGCAGTAGAACTGACTGAGGAGACTAGAATTGGGGTGCTGAGATAATCAGTTGGTGGCCTGGCTAAATAGGGCTTAGCAATGAGGAGTGCTTTTTTAAAAATAAGAACATTAAGAGCTTTTACCTGGGGCAAGAGCAGGCTACAGTTGGAGACAAACCAAATGGGGGACATCTTTAACTAGGCTATCTGGTTTCAGATAGGTGACTGTTTGAGGGGGTCCGGATCTCTTCTCCTTCAAGCTTGTTTGCTAAACCTGTCGAGGGGCGAAGGAAGAGGAGGGAATGGGTCAATGATAGGACTGGACTGGGTTGGCCTCCTTCATAGTGATCACCTGATCAGTTTTGCATGAGCAGATCCTGGTTCACCTTCAACACTATTAAGAGAAAAGCTTGCTGATGACAGTGGGATTGGACTCAGCCCTCCCTCCCCTGCCACTGCAGCGGTCTCCTCTGTTCACACCAGGACCTAACTAACCTGCCTAACCTGCCTGCCCTCTTTTTTCATTACATGGTGTGAATGTATCCACTTTTTATTTGCAAGTAATTAATAGATAATTGGTTTTGTCGTCTTTTTAGAGACTGTTGGTTTGAATACAGGGACTGGGGTAGAACCAGTACATCCCTAACCCAAGATGAGTGCGACAAAGGAAGATGTTGAGAAGTTCCTGGATGGAAACCCAGCTTTCGCCCAGGGCTACTTCAACAAGAAGCTCACACCAGGGGCCCTCTCTGTGATGGCGGGGATCCCGGAGTCCAAGGTAGATTTTGGGATGTTACAGGAGCTGAGCCAGATAGAGGAAGGCCAGATCCTGTTCGACCTGATTAAAGAAATGCAGGAGAATGTGAACATGGAGAAAGTGGTGTTCAAGATCCTGAAGAGGATCGTGGCCCTGATCCAAGCCGACCGCTGCAGCCTGTTCATGTACCGGGAGAGGAACGGCATCGCAGAGCTAGCCACGCGTCTTTTCAACATCACCACCGAGTCTGAGCTGGACGACTGTGTGGTTCACCCTGACCACGAGATAGTCTTCCCCCTGGACCTTGGGGTGGTGGGAAATGTGGCCCAGACCAAGAAACACATAAATTTGAAAGATGCCAATGAGGTAAGAGTCAGATGGGGAATATGAAACATAAACGTATGTTGTGGTAGTGATTGGGACAGACAGACAGTGTCCCAGAGGCTAGGAGCCAGTGGTAGTGATTGGGACAGACAGACAGTGTCCCAGAGGCTAGGAGCCAGTGGTAGTGATGGGGACAGACATACAGACAGTGTCCCAGAATTTAGGACATAAACATTGTGGTAGTGATGAGGACAGACAGACAGTGTCCCAGAGGCTGGGACCCAGTGGCTTCAGTGAAATTGTGTCAATAATCTTTTACAAGGGCCTTGTCACACAATCCCACATGATAATATCTTCTAGCTGTACCAACTGCCACAAATAACAAACAAATACAAAATATATAGATGCATCAATTTCATGTTCAGCCAGACAAAAAAGTGAATAGTTATTTAATCCAACAAACAAATACAAAATATATAGATGCATCAATTTCATGTTCAGCCAGACAAAAAAGTGAATAGTTATTTAATCCATGACTATTTTAAAATACACATAGTGTTCAAATGTTATTTTTATTAAAACACAGTGTCACATAAAGTAGTATGGCAACTATACTGTTCTGTGGGGAGCTTCTAAATGAATATCTGGAGACAATATAAATCCTCTCGACAGACATAATCCAGTTATTATATATCCCATTACCCCCTGCTGTATCTGGGATTATGGCACCTGTCCTGGGGCGTTTACACTGGGGTCAGCAGGAAGCTAACACGAATCAAATAAATTTATATTTCACATTGCCCAGATTTACATTCACTCTTGATATTGAAGTGTATTTCTTAACTGAGTAGCTACATATATCCCTTTTATACATTGTCTTTTATCTTGAATATGCAAGAGGTTAACATGTATTAATCTGTGGTCTATAATGATATGTAAACTGAAAAAGGCTCCACACCAAGCCTATGTATTGATTTATAGACCCGTCTTAACACATCCATGTGTGATCTCTGATGTCAGTAATTTGCTTTGTTTTCTGCCATACAGAGCAGTCACTTCAGCTCGTTCGTTGATGACCTGACAGAGTACAAAACCAGGAACATATTAGCCTCGCCCATCATGAATGGAGAGGATGTGGTGGCTGTGATCATGGCCCTGAACAAGACCACTGGACCCCACTTCACCACTGAGGATGAGGATGTGAGTACTGAGGATTAAGTGAGTCTGAGAATAGGATCCACACATCTCCATATGTCAGCAGGGAAATCCCACACAGTCACAATGGAAATACTATGATGAGTTCATTACATGACGTTAGAGTCTGAATTAGTTGGGGATGGGAGGCAGGTAGCCTAGCGGTTAAGAGTGTTGGGCCAGTAACCGCTGGTTCGAATTCCCGAGCAAGGCCCTTAACCCTAATTGCTCATGTAAATTGCTCTGGATAAGAGCATCTGCTAAATGACCAAATAAATTGAAAACAAAATGGTAATCAAGAGGCTTTCCCCAATCCCAAAGTTTGTTCACTGAAAGCACATGCAGCATACGAACACTGAATGCTGTTGTAGAACACAAACATGTCCAACAGAGAACACATACAAACTGTGCTGCCTTTATGAAGAGGAAGGTCACATTCATGACTGATGTTTTCACATACATGCATTTGTACTTCTCGCCTTCCCTCTACCACCATAATTACACATCAATGTACGTATTTCTCTCTAAGACTAATTCATATTTTTCTGTCTCCCAGCTCTTTCTGAAGTATCTCAGAATAGCCACTTTGAACCTGAAAATTTACCAGTTGAACTACCTGTACAACTGTGAGACTCGAAAAGGACAGGTGAGTCTGCTGTCTGCGCTGATATTCAGAGGAAGGACTAGTTGTAAATTACAATATGGTGCACACACAAAAAAGGCTCTTATTTAGCTTTCACACATTTATGGATATAGCAACCAACTGGTTTTTAACTGATCCTTTATGGTTGTTGATTTCTGTCGGGTATAGGTCCTGTTGTGGTCCGCCAACAAGGTGTTTGAGGAGCTAACAGACATTGAGAGACAGTTCCACAAAGCCCTGTATACAGTGCGGGCGTACCTGAACTGTGACAGGTACTCTGTGGGCCTACTGGACATGACAAAGGAGAAGGTGATGTAGCCAGGTCATTCTTCAATTGCAGTGACATTTGGGCATGGCATTTTGGAATTTGTTTTGTTTAAATCTTCCTATTCCAAATCAACTAACATGGCAGTTTAATTACTTTAAATCATTTTTATCATTATGATAACATTGTGCCACCAGTAGGAGTAGTAACACCATTGACGGTAACACCATTGACGGTAACACCAATGACACATTTTAAGTAATTGAAAATGTTCTTAAATGGAGGTCACAGATGCTCAAATCGAAGGTCAATAACCCTTTAAAAATAATGTATTAAAGTTATATAATTAATCATTTTGCGCACAATGTAATTTCCCTGCATTTAAATTGAGTAACACCAAATACACTTTTTATTTAGACACACCAAATTTTCAATTGAATCCTGAAGTTTATGACATACTAAAAGTGTGTGATTAGCTAATCATTTTCTTTAATATATACCCCTACCCCGATAACAGTTTGCCACTGGTGCTCAATGTAATGAGTGATTTTCAAGGCAGCAACACCAATTAAATAAAACTTAGGGACACATATTATAAAAATAGGTATTTTAATAGCCTTCTTCGTTTTTATTGATCTATACAATATATTAAATACTTTTGATTACTTTCTTGCATTGAAAATAATAGATAAATATCCCCAAATCCCAAAACATGTCACTACAACTCTACTCATCACTACTGGGACAAGTCCATTTGCTTAAGTACTTTAATGCACAAACATAACGTTTTGCAGTATAAAGGAATTGCATTATGTTTTATCATTGATAAACAGTAAAATATAAACAAAAACATGTATGATATGTAACTATTTGTCAAGTTAAAGTGTTTTTTCATGGTTGCAAAGGTGAGGGACGTAAATGCCACCACAATTCAAGAATGACCCACCCATTTAGTTATCAGAAAGAAGAGTTATTATGGGTCTCCTCTGGTAATACTGTAGCCTACATGACATAGCTCATATGGCACTACACACTATATTATTAATATGCTGTGTGTGGCAATCCATCTGTGTCATTGCTTTGTTGCTATAGGAGTTCTTTGACATCTGGCCAGTGTTGATGGGAGATCAGCCCCCCTACGCTGGACCTGTTACTCCTGACGGCAGAGTAAGTGTTCATATCTATCTACTTATTACCACATGAACTGGTCTTTACCTTTTTGCCTTTGTTTCTGCAAATTCTAATTTGTGGTTTTTTTGGGGTTATTTGTGATTCTAGGAAGTAATATTCTACAAAGTCATTGATTATATTTTGCATGGAAAAGAGGATATCAAAGTTATCGCGTATGTTTCTCTCACCTTTCTCTGAACATTTGTGTATAGTTGAAGTAGTTACAACCCTGTATAACACTGTATAGAGGAATAATCAATGTGTGTTGTCTGACTGTCTCCTGTCAACAGGACTCCCACTCCAGAACACTGGGTGTTGTGTACTGGATTGCCCACATATGTGGCCGAAACTGGTCTTGTAAGTTCCCCCTTTTAACTAGCATTCCAGCAGTGTTTGAAATACTTTCAGAATTTGGAATTGACTTCAAAATAAGAGAACGTTAAAATTGCCACAATTTGCATGTGTTGTTGATGCTGTACTGATTATTTTTAATATCTAGATATGTAACATCATGAATCCCACAACAGAGGAGATGTTCAAGTTTCAGGTACATTTTGCTTCATTATAAAATCAAGTATCCTTATATGTCTGTAATACAAACATGTTTCAAGCAGACCACCATAGTCCCTGTGCCCAAGAACACTAAGATAACCTGCCTAAATGACTACCGACCCGTAGCACTCACGTCTGTAGCCATGAAGTGCTTTGAAAGGCTGGTCATTGCTCACATCAACACCATTATCCCAGAAACCCTAGACCCATTCCAATTTGCATACCGCCCCAACAGATCCACAGATGATGCAATCTCTATTGCACTCCACACTGCTCTTTCCCACCTGGACAAAAGGAACACCTCCGTGAGAATGCTATTCATTGACTACAGCTCAGCTTTCAACACCATAGTGCCCTCAAAGCTCATCACTAAGCTAAGAAACCTGGGACTAAACACCTCCCTTTGCAACTGGATCCTGGACTTCCTGACGGGCTGCCCCCAGGTGGTAAGGGTAGGTAACAACACATCTGCCACACTGATCCTCAACACGGGGGCCCCTCAGGGGTGCGTGCTCAGTCCCCTCCTGTACTCCCTGTTCACCCATGACTGCATGGTCTGGCATGACTCCAACACCATCATTAAGTTTGCCAACGACACAAAAGCCTGATCGCCGACAACGATGAGACAGGGAGGAGGTCAGAGACCTGGCCGTGTGTTGCCAGGATAACAACCTCTCCCTCAACATGATTAAGACAAAGGAGATGATTGTGGACCACAGGAAAAGAGGACAGAGCACGCCCCCATTCTCATCGACGGGGCTGTAGTGGAGCAGGTTGAGAGCTTCAAGTTCCTTGGTGTCCACATCACCAACAAACTATCATGGTCCAAACACATAGAGACAGTCGTGAAGAGGGCACGACAAAGCCTATTCCCCCTCAAGATTTGGCATGGGTCCTCAGATCCTCAAAAAGTTCTACAGCTGCACCATCGAGAGCATCCTGACTGGTTGCATCACTGCCTGGCATGGCAACTGCTCGGCCTCCGACCGCAAGGCACTACAGAGGGTAGTGCGTACGGCCCAGCACATCACTGGGGCCAAGCTTCCTGACATCCAGGACCTCCATACCAGGCGGTGCCAGAAGAAGGCCCTAAAAATGGTCAAATACTCCAGCCACCCTAGTCATAGACTGTTCTCTCTCTACCGCACGGCAAGCGGTACCAGAGTGCCAAGTCTACATCCAAAATTATTCTTAACAGCTTCTACCCCCAAGCCATAAGACATAAGCTAATCAAATGGCTACCCGGACTATTTGCATTGTCCCTCCCCCCACACCCCTTCTTTTACGCTACTGCTACTCTCTGTTTATTATCCATGCATAGTCAATTTAACTATACCTACATGTACATATTACCTCAATTACCTCGACTAACCGGTGCCCCTGCACATTGACTCGGTACCGGTACCCCCTGTATATTGTCTCGCCACTGTTATTTTTACTGTTATTTTACTGCTTTAATTTTTTACTTATCTATTGTTTACTTATTTTTCTTAAAACTGCATTGTTGGTTAAGGGCTTGTAAGTAAGCATTTCACTGTAAGGTCTACACCTGTTGTATTCGGTGCATGTGACAAATACAATTTGATTTGATTTGTAGTTTTGGCAAAAAGTTGAGCTACTTGCATAATTCCTGTTGAGCGTTTATCTTGTGTCTTCCCATGATGCAGTCAGAGCCCTTGGATGACAGTGGTTGGACCATAAAGAATGTGCTGTCCATGCCAATTGTCAACATGATGGAAGAGATTGTGGGCGTGGCTACATTCTACAACAGGAAAGATGGGAAGCCATTCGATCAGCAGGATGAGGAGCTAATGGAGGTACTTTACTATACTACAGCACTCAGCTGTCTTCTCAACTCCTTCTGTCTTCACAGAGAAGTGGTCAAGTCAAGTGACTCTAGAAAGCCGCCTTCTCGTCCTGCTTTGTGTAGACCACATTGACCTGAGTGAACCTACTCTAAATTATATTATGACTGTCTGTCTCCCAATGTTTCAAATCAAAGTTTATTGGTCGCGAAATGCTTGTGTTTCTAGCTCCAACAGTGCAGTAATACTTAGCAGGGGAAAAAAGACAATACACACATAATCCAGAAATATTTTTTTATTAAGAATTTAAGAGATATTAGAACCAGCAATGTCAGAGACCGTAATATAAATATATATATATACAGTATATGAATAGAAAAGGTGTGTACAGCAGTAGTTATATGGGATGAACCATGACTAGAATACAGTATATACATATAAAGTGGGTGAAACAGTATGTAAACATAGTTAAAGTGACCAGTGTTCAGTGTACATAGGGCAGCAGTCTCAAAGGTGAAGGGTAGAGTACCGGGTGGTAGCCAGCTAGAACAGTGACTAAGGTTCAGGGCAGTGTACTAGGCAGAGGCCGGCTAGTGTTGACTGTTTAACTGTCTGATGGCCTGGAGATAGAAGCTGTTTCTCAGTCTCAGCTTTGATGCACCTGCACTGTCTCCGCCTTCTAGATGTTAGCGGGGTGAACAGGCCATGGCTCGGGTGGCTGAGGTCCTTGATGATCGTCTTGGCCTTCCTGTGACACCGGGTGCTGTAGATGTCCTGGAGGGTAGGCAGTGTGACCCTGGTGATGTGTTGGGCTGACCGCAGCACCCTCTGAAGAGCCCTGCGGTTGCGGGCGGTGCCATTGCCGTACAAGGCAGTGATACAGGCCGACAGGATGCTCTCAGTGATGCATCTGTAGAAGTTCATAAGGGTCTTAGGGGCCAAGCCACATTTCTTCAGCCTCCTGAGGTTAAAGAGGCGCTGTTGCTCCTTCTTCACCACATTGTCTGTGTGAAGGGACCCTTTCAGGTTGTCAGTGATGTGCACGCCGAGGAACTTGAAGCTTTTGAACCTCTGCACTACGGCCCTGTCGATGTGGATGGGGGTGTGCTCTCTCTGCTGTCTCCTGTAGCTCCTTCGTTTTGTTGACGTTGAGGGAGTCATGGGTGAACAGGGAGTACAGAAGGGTGCTGAGCACGCACCCCTGTGGGGCCCCTGTGTGGCCCCCATGTTGAGGATCAGGGTGGCGGAGGTGTTGTTGCCTACCTTCACCACTTGTCTTCACCAGGTTTTCACCATTTTGGTTACTGAATAAACCTACTCTGAATTACATGGTTTCTGTCTGTCTCCCCAGGCTATGACTAACTTCCTGGGCTGGTCCCACCTCAACACAGACACCAATGACAGGATGAAAATGATGGAGAACCGGAAAGACATAGCCCAGGACATGGTTCTCTACCACGTCAAGTGCCGTGATGACGAAATACAGAAAATCCTGGTGAAGACTTTCTCAAAGATACTGTACACACCAAAGATCTAACCCCCTTTATACGAGAAGTGTTGTTTTAATGTTTGACACTAATTGTTGTTTCATGTATGTTAGAAAACCAGGCAGTATTTCAACAGAGAGCCCTGTGACTGTGAAGAGGATGAGTTCCTGCAGATTCTGGTATTACCACGTCATATTTGTAGAATAACAATTTGGTCATCATCTGGTTGTTATAGAATTATCCCTGATTTGGTCACGATAGTATAAGATTAACTGGAACAGTTGCATTTGAAACCTCTACATTAATATGGTCGTATGTTTAGTTTGCTGTTAATAATGCCAAAATAATCATGCATTATCACACAGAAAAAAGAACTACCCGGCCCCAAGAAGTTTGAGATCTACGAGTTCGGGTTCTCGGACTTTGACCTCACAGAGCTGGAGCTGGTGATGTGTGGGATCCAAATGTACTATGAGGTCGGAGTGGTCAAGAAGTTCCAGGTTCCACAGGAGGTAACGTTAATGTACAATCATGATCTGCCCTGCAACATCTTTCAATGCCGGGGAAGTGTCAGTTTGAGCAAATACTCTGAATATACTGTATATATGAATATACTGTATGTATGCTGTTTGTCGTTAGTTACTTTATTGCTCTCCCATAATATCTGTATATGTTCTAACGCTCCACTTCCAAATCCCATGAAAACCATCAGGCATCTTTATTTATTTTAACAGGTTCTGGTGCGCTTCATGTTCTCTATCAGCAAAGGCTACAGGAAAATCACCTATCACAACTGGCGCCACGGTTTCAATGTCGGACAGACTATGTTCACACTGTTGACGGTAGGAGTGCTTATGCCTCAGTAGTAATGCACCCTAACTTAATTTTGTCTCACAGAAAATAAAAGGCATATTTTCTTACAGATATCCTAATTTGACCAATTTCTCACAGCAGGAAAAGAATCCTACAGCAACAGGAAATGTGAATTGTTATGTGGATTATAATTAATGGAATTTTTGTTGGGGTTGATACGTTTTTATCTGTATTTGCCCATTAACTTAAACTGAAAGACATAATTGAAAGACATCTCTAATTCTGAAAGTCAAACTGCTGTGTTTTGTTGTGTCAGACAGGGAACCTGAAAAGGTACTACACAGATCTGGAGGTGATGGCCATGCTCACATCTGCTTTCCTCCATGATATCGACCACAGGGGGACAAACAACCTCTACCAGGTGAAGTGAGTACTCCTGGGAATCTCTGCTCTCTGAGAGTTGGTACAACCAGCCCTTCTTAAATCCTTAGGTCTCTTATTTTACTATCTCTCTCATCGCAACTGTAAATGTAGAGAAGCACTTGGATTAGCTTTGTGTGATGAATGGCTTATGATGAGCTCCCTGTACAGTGTGTGGTCTGGTCCCTCCTCATCAACAGATCTGGTAACCCGCTAGCCAAGCTTCACGGCTCGTCTGTCCTGGAGAGGCATCATCTAGAATTTAGCAAGTTCCTTCTGGCAGACGAGGTATGTAAGGCTTTTGTATCTCAACTGCTGCAGTAGCACCTTTGATGTCAATTTTTTATTTTTTTATTGGTACTCTATACTTCCATTTTGATCATGTGACGCTTTCATCTAACTCCTCCTCCCTCCCCCCAGGCCTTGAATATCTACCAGAACCTCAACAGAAGACAGAACGAGCATGCCATCCACCTCCTGGACATTGCCATCATTTCAACAGACTTGCAACTCTATTTCAAGTGAGTAATAATATTTTATTTGTCACATGCTTCGTAAACAACAGATGTAGACTAGTGAAATGCTTACTTACGGATATTTTTTCCAACAATGCAGAGTTAAAAATAAAAATTCACTGAACAAAAATATGAACGAAACATGAAACAATTTCTAAGATTTTACTGAGTTACAATTCATATTAGGAAATCAGTCAATTGAAATAAATCCATTAGGCCCTAATCTATAGATTTCACATGACTGGGAATACAGATATACATCTGTTGGTCACAGATACCTTAAAAAAAAGTAGGGGCGTGGATCAGAAAACCTGTCAGTATCTGGTGTGACCACCATTTGCCTCATTCAGCGTGACACATCTCCTTCACATAGAAATTATCAGGCTGTTGATTGTGGGCTGTGGAATGTTGTCCCACTCCTCTTCAATGGCTGTGCGAAGTTGCTGGATATTGGTTGGAACTGGAACACACTGTCCACATCAATCCAGAGCATCCCAAACATGCTCAATGGGTGACATGTCTGGTGAGTATGCAAGCCATGGAAGAACTGGGACATTTTCAGCTTCCAGGAATTGTGTACAGATCCTTGCGACATGGGGCTGTGCATTATCATGCACGACAATGGGCCTCAGGATCTCGTCACGGTATCTCGGTACATTTAAATTGCCATCGATAAAAAGCACATTTGTTTGTTGTCCGTAGCTTATGCCTGCCCATACCATAACCCCACCACCACCATGGGGCACTCTGTTCACAACGTTGACATCAGCAAACCGCTCGCCCACACGACACCATACACGCTGCCATCGGCCCGGTACAGTTGAAACCGGGCTTAATCTGTGAAGAGTATATTTCTCCAGCGTGCCAGTGGCCATCGAAGGTGAGCATTTGTCCACTGAAGTCGGTTACAACGCCGAACTGCAGTCAGGTCAAGACGCTGCTGAGGACAATGAGCATGCAGATGAGCTTCCCTGAGACGGTTTCTGACAGTTTGTGCAGAAATTCTTCAATTGTGCAAACCCACAGTTTCATCAGCTGTCCGGGTGGCTGGTCTCAGACAATCCCGCAGGTGAAGAAGCCGGATGTGGAAGTCCTGGGCAGGCGTGGTTACACATGGTCTGCGGTTGTGAGGCCAGCTGGACATACTGCTAAATTCTTTAATCAGCTTCTTGATATGCCACACCTGTCAGGTGGATGGATTATTTTGACAAAGGAGAAATGCTCACTAACAGGAATGTAAACAAATGTGTGCAAAACAATTGGGAGAAATAAGCTTTCTGTGCACATGGAACATTTCTGAGATCTTTTATTGCAGCTCATGGAACATGGGACCAACACTTTCTTCCTTCAGCTGTTCAGTGTAATAATAATAGAAATAGTGACAGGAGGAATAAATGCACAGTGAATAACGGATAACAATAATGAGTAAAAATAGCATCGCTATACAGTATACAGGGAGTACCGAGACAATGTGCAGGGCTACCAGATAATTGAGGTACCTACAGTGAGGGAAAAAAGTATTTGATCCCCTGCTGATTTTGTACGTTTGCCCACTGACAATGACATGATCAGATAATTTTAATGGTAGGTTTATTTGAACGGTGAGAGACAGAATAACAACAACAAAAATCCAGAAAAATGCATGTCAAAAATGTTATAAATTGATTTGCATTTTAATGAGGGAAATAAGTATTTGACCCCCTCTCAATCAGAAAGATTTCTGGCTCCCAGCTGTCTTTTATACAGGTAACGAGCTGAGATTAGGAGCACACTCTTAAAGGGAGTGCTCCTAATCTCAGTTTGTTACCTGTATAAAATACACCTGTCCACAGAAGCAATCAATCAATCAGATTCCAAACTCTCCACCATGGCCAAGACCAAAGAGCTCTCCAAGGATGTCAGGGACAAGATTGTAGACCTACACAAGGCTGGAATGGGCTACAAGACCATCGCCAAGCAGCTTGGTGAGAAGGTGACAACAGTTGATGCGATTATTCGCAAATGGAAGAAACACAAAATAACTGTCAATCTCCCTCGGCAAGGGGCTCCATGCAAGATCTCACCTCGTGGAGTTGCAATGATCATGAGAACGGTGAGGAATCAGCCCAGAACTACACGGGAGGATCTTGTCAATGATCTCAAGGCCATAGTCACCAAGAAAACAATTGGTAACACACTACGCCGTGAAGGACTGAAATCCTGCAGCGCCCGCATGGTCCCCCTGCTCAAGAAAGCACATATACAGTGGGGGAAAAAAGTATTTAGTCAGCCACCAATTGTGCAAGTTCTCCCACTTAAAAAGAGGAGAGAGGCCTGTAATTTTCATCATAGGTACACGTCAACTATGACAGACAAAATGAGAAAAAAAAATCCTGAAAATCACATTGTAGGATTTTTAATGAATTTATTTGCAAATTATGGTGGAAAATAAGTATTTGGTCAATAACAAAAGTTTCTCAATACTTTGTTATATACCCTTTGTTGGCAATGACACAGGTCAAATGTTTTCTGTAAGTCTTCACAAGGTTTTCATACACTGTTGCTGGTATTTTGGCCCATTCCGCCATGCAGCTCTCCTCTAGAGCAGTGATGTTTTGGGGCTGTCGCTGGGCAACACGGACTTTCAACTCCCTCCAAATATTTTCTATGGGGTTGAGATCTGGAGACTGGCTAGGCCACTCCAGGACCTTGAAATGCTTCTTACGAAGCCACTCCTTCGTTGCCTGGGCGGTGTGTTTGGGATCATTGTCATGCTGAAAGACCCAGCCACGTTTCATCTTCAATGCCCTTGCTGATGAAAGGAGGTTTTCACTCAAAATCTCACGATACATGGCCCCATTCATTATTTCCTTTACGCGGATCAGTCGTCCTGGTCCCTTTGCAGAAAAACAGCCCCAAAGCATGATGTTTCCACCCCCATGCTTCACAGTAGGTATGGTGTTCTTTGGATGCAACTCAGCATTCTTTGTCCTCCAAACACGACGAGTTGAGTTTTTACCAAAAAGTTATATTTTGGTTTCATCTGACCATATGACATTCTCCCAATCCTCTTCTGGATCATCCAAATGCACTCTAGCAAACTTCAGACGGGCCTGGACATGTACTGGCTTAAGCAGGGGGACACGTCTGGCACTGCAGGATTTGAGTCCCTGGCGGCGTAGTGTGTTACTGATGGTAGGCTTTGTTACTTTGGTCCCAGCTCTCTGCAGGTCATTCACTAGGTCCCCCCGTGTGGTTCTGGGATTTTTGCTCACCGTTCTTGTGATCATTTTGACCCCACGGGGTGAGATCTTGCGTGGAGCCCCAGATCGAGGGAGATTATCAGTGGTCTTGTATGTCTTCCATTTCCTAATAATTGCTCCCACAGTTGATTTCTTCAAACCAAGCTGCTTACCTATTGCAGATTCAGTCTTCCCAGCCTGGTGCAGGTCTACAATTTTGTTTCTGGTGTCCTTTGACAGCTCTTTGGTCTTGGCCATAGTGGAGTTTGGAGTGTGACTGTTTGAGGTTGTGGACAGGTGTCTTTTATACTGATAACAAGTTCAAACAGGTGCCATTAATACAGGTAACGAGTGGAGGACAGAGGAGCCTCTTAAAGAAGAAGTTACAGGTCTGTGAGAGCCAGAAATCTTGCTTGTTTGTAGATGACCAAATACTTATTTTCCACCATAATTTGCAAATAAATTCATTGAAAATCCTACAATGTGATTTTTTGGATTTTTTTTCCTCATTTTGTCTGTCATAGTTGACGTGTACCTATGATGAAAATTACAGGCCTCTCTCATCTTTTTAAGTGGGAGAACTTGCACAATTGGTGGCTGACTAAATACTTTTTTTCCCCACTGCACATGCCCGTCTGAGGTTTGCCAATGAACATCTGAATGATTCAGAGGAGAACTGGGTCAAAGTGTTGTGGTCAGATGAGACTAAAATGGAGCTCTTTGGCATCAACTCAACTCGCCGTGTTTGTAGGAGGAGGAATGCTGCCTATGACCCCAAAAACACCATCCCCACCGTCAAACATGGAGGTGGAAACATTATGCTTTGGGGATGTTTTTCTGCTAAGGGGACAGGACAACTTCACCACATCAAAGGGACGATGGATGGGGCCATGTACCGTTAAATTTTGGGTGAGAACCTCCTTCCCTCAGGCAGGGCATTGAAAATGGGTCGTGGATGGGTATTCCAGCATGACAATGACCCAAAATACACGGCCAAAGCAACAAAGGAGTGGCTCAAGAAGAAGCACATTAAGGTCCTGGAGTGGCCTAGCCAGTCTCCAGACCTTAATCCCATAGAAAATCTGTGGAGGGAGCTGAAGGTTTGAGTTGCCAAACGTCAGCCTCGAAACCTTAATGCAAAGATCTGCAAAGAAGAGTGGGACAAAATCCCTCCTGAGATGTGTGCAAACCTGGTGGCCAACTACAAGAAACATCTGGCCTCTGTGATTGCCAACAAGGGTTTTGCCACCAAGTACTAAGTCATGTTTTGCAGAGGGGTCAAATACTTATTTCCCTCATTAAAATGCAAATCAATTTATAACATTTTTGACATGCATTTTTCTGGATTTTTTTGTTGTTATTCTGTCTCTCACTGTTCAAATAAACCTACCATTAAAATTATAGACTGATCATGTCTTTGTCAGTGGGCAAATGTCCAACATCAGCAGGGTATCAAATACTTTTTTCCCTCACTGTATGTACATATAGTTCTCCCGAGTGGCGCGGTGGTCTAAGGCACTGCATCGCAGTGCTAGCTGTGCCACTAGGCTCTTTCGTAGCCGACCGGGAGACCCATGGGGCGGCACACAATTGGCCCAGGGTAGGGGAGGGAATGGCCGGCAGGGATGTAGCTCAGTTGGAGCATGGCGTTTGCAACGCCAGGGTTGTGGGTTCGATTCCCACGGGGGGCCAGTATGAAAAAATAAAAAATGTATGCACTCACTAACTGTAAGTCGCTCTAGATAAGAGCGTCTGCTAAATGACTAAAATGTATATAGGTAGGGGTAAAGTGACTAGGCAACAGGTTTGGTAGAAGCAGTGTGTGTGTGGACATAAATGTGTATACTGTATGTGTGTGTTGAGGTGTGGGTAGTGTCCAGTGTGTTTGGTTGAGAGTCCATGCAGGAGTGTTAACGCAAACAAGTGTATGTAATTAACTGCAATACATTTTGTATGCCCTATACAAATCTTAGGAAGAATGTATTGTTGTTAATGTGGACTCTTTCTCTGCATATTGAATCACTGTTAATCCAAATGTTTGTTTTTCACAGATTAACTGCAACGACCATGCCTACTTAGCCCTGTAAAGTTGGGAAAAACAAGATTTGACAATGCACAGCTTCTAACTTTAACATAATGTATACATCTCTGTTTGGACTTTTTCCAATGTCACCAGGAAGCGAACAATGTTCCAGAAGATTGTTGACCTATCAAAGACCTACGAAGATGAGAAGAAGTGGGTGGACTGGATGTCCCTGGAGACGACCAGGAAAGAGATTGTCTTGTGAGTTCATGGTAGGGGGAGGATTGTAGTGATAGGGGGGATATGTAGGATTATAACATGCACATTGGATCTTATCTTAGCATTTCTACTTTGCTCTGAACCTTTAATAATTCCCCTCAAAGGGCCATGATGATGACAGCATGCGACTTGTCAGCCATCACTAAACCATGGGAGGTGCAAAGCAAGGTCAGGAGATCTTCTGATTATAGTCTAATTATATACTTTGAAGACATTTTAGCAGAAGCTTTTGTGTTTCTGTAAATCAATAAAGCTGTCCAACATAGTGAAATACATGGGACTGTCTGGCTTCTTCCAGGTGGCGCTGTCTGAAGCAGCTGAGTTCTGGGAGCAGGGTGACTTGGAAAGGGAAGTTCTTGAAAAACAACCAATTGTGGGTATATCAGTGTGTGTGTGTGTGTGTGTGTGTGTGTGTGTGTTGTGTGTTGTGTGTTGTGTGTGCGTGTGTAACCATGTTTTTCTCCCTCCTTTCCTCCAGACCATGATGGACAGAAACTGCGCTGGCCAACTGCCCAAGCTGCAGTGTGGTTTCATTGACTTTGTCTGCACATTCGTCTACAAGGTACAGTATGTACTACCACTCTTTCAGACTAGCTACATCTCTCAGCATCACAGCTATTGCTAAGCACAAAGTAAACCATGAATCATACCTTCTATTGGATGTACACTACCGGTCAAAAGTTTTAGAACACCTACTCATTCAAGGGTTTTTCTTTATTTTTTACTATTTTCTACATTGTACAATAATAGTGAAGACATCAAAACTATGAAATAACACATGGAATCATGTAGTAACCAGAAAAGTGTTAAACAAATCAAAATATTCAATTATTTTTGAGATTCTTAAAATAGGCACCCTTTGCCTTGATGACAGCTTTGCACACTCTTGGCATTCTCTCAACCAGACATGAAGGTCAGTCAATACGGAAAATGTCAAGAACTTTGAAAGTTTCTTCAAGTGCAGTCGCAAAAACCATCAAGCGCTATGATGAAACTGGCTCTCGAGGACCGCCACAGGACTGGAAGACCCAGAGTTACCTCTGCTGCATATGTGGGAACTCCTTCAAGACTGTTGGAAAAGCATTCCAGGTGAAGCTGGTTGAGAGAATGCCAAGAGTGTGCAACGCTGTCATCAAGGCAAAGGGTGGCTATTTGAAGATTCTCAAATATAAAATATATTTTGATTTGTTTGACACTTTTTTGGTTACTATATGATTCCATGTGTCATTTCATAGTTTTGATGTCCTCACTATTATTCTGCAATGTAGAAAATAGTCAAAATAAAGAAAAACCCTGGAATGAGTAGGTGTTCTAAAACTTTTGACTGGTAGTGTATATATTGACCAAATGCACAATTGTCATTCAGACTAGCATTATTTGGTTAGATAGCTTGACTGTCAGAAATAGAGTTCGCAAGTTTTTGTTTCGTTAATTTTTCTGTCAGGAATTCTCCCGCTTCCATCCGGCCATCCAGCCAATGTATGATGGCCTCCTGAACAACAGGAAGGAGTGGAAGGCCAAGCAGGAAGAGTACGAGGCCAAGCAGGCCATCCTGGAAGCCCAGTCAGGTCAGAGTGGAGGCTATATTGTATTATTGCTCTGTAGTTTAGAGGGCAGTTTGTCTGCATTAAAAGTAACACAGATGATCCTTACCATGTACTTTATTTAATATTCTTGTAATGTAAAGGGTCCAAGACGTGCTCAGTGTGCTAGAGCACAGGGCCTGTTTTGGAGGTAGATCACTCCAGGATACATCACAGCCACACAGTCTTGCGCCGGCCGGGGCAGGACCAGCCTCACCTCAAAGCAGCTGTGGAAGGACAGCCTGCACTCACAGCACCAGATCCTTGGAGAAGAGCCAGAGGGACTACTTAGCAGTCACGCAGCAAAGCCGTTGGACCTGCTGGTTACAGACCCATGTTGGCACATTATGGCCACAACAGTCCATTTTCTTCCTTCAGCTGAAGGGTAGTTATCATTAGTTGCATTGGCAAATCAACATTTTATAAATTCAAATTTTAGAAGTTCAATAAGTTTCAATACCTTCGGAGGAATCCTGCATGTTCTGATGGCAAGTAGACGTGTGGAGTAATTTTTTTTTTAACCACTTTGAACTTTTAAAACTTATGTACAATAGGTTCCTGAAGGTCTTTATCGACCAATTTAAGGAACAAGAAATCAATAACTTCTGAAATATCTGTTTCTACACGTATGTGGAATGTCATATGAATATAACATTATGCATTGCTTCTCATTTTAAACGGGTAACTGTTTCGTAACTACCTTTTTTATACATAATAGTGTTAAATACTAATTACATTATTATTATTTAACAGTATTCTGTATGAAAATAATATTAAATAATATTATACAAAACCTTGGTGGATTAATCAAGAATCCAATGTTACTTCTATGTATGTTATAACAACAGTGTAATTACCATGACTTACGTTGTTCTTCATTTCCTTCCAGTCAGTCATCATTTACATGAGAGAATGTGTTTACCCTAATGGTAATCAAAAGTAGATTATGCAGTAGTAAGGTTAGCGTCCACATACGCCATAGCGGTAGGTAGTCTAGCGGTTAGATCGTTGGGCCAGTAACCGAAAGGTCGCTAATTCGAACTCCAGAGCTGACTAAGTGAAAAATCGATGTGCCCTTGAGCAAGGCACTTAACTCCAATTGCTCTAGGGTCACCATTGATAATGACTCCACTCTCTGAGGGGGTTGGGATATGCAAAAAAACACATTTCCAATTCACACAAGTATTAATACACACTTGTGTGTGTGAAATAGGACAAATATAAGCACCCACGTTATTATAAGAAGTACATTTTATGTTTTACTCCATTACAGGGTAATGTGACACCTTGTTGTGGGTTGTTATGTGATAGTTTTGCAATACAATAATTGTTACTCTATTGTCCAGTGCTGTTTATTGTTACTGTATTGTCCACTGCTGTTTATTGTTACTGTATTGTCCAGTGCTGTTTAAGTACAGCAAGGTAAATGTTATAGACCGACTGAAGTCAGACAGTCGAGATTCTCTGTGTGTGTACATTTACAATGTATTTTACTGAGATAGGAGAGAAAGGAGTTTACATTTTCAGGAATGTCTGTTCCTGTCCCTGGCTATCAACACTGAACTAGAAATGCTTCACTGTTTATTTTAGAATATTTGAATGAGACATACTTTTAAGGTAAAAACAAGATACAATATGTCTCAAAATATGTGTGTATGATTAATATAACAATATGGATGGATTTCCATATGGTCCACTGAGGATAATGGTCAAAGTTATTTAAGCCAGTGGCCTTGATTCTGATACTCTTGAGCCGACTCACTGGATCCATAGAATCTCCTAGTTCTCATTATGAACAAAGAATCATGTTCTTATAGCAGCCCCACTGTCAACGGGGCATCTATGCTTTTATAGATGTAATCATTTGTAAATAGTCTCCTGCTGTAAATATATAGTATAAATAGTATATTTTTTCAGATGATTAATAGGTAATCCATGGATTTCCTTTCCTCTATGAACGTCAGTGCAACATTACTGTTATGCTCTGTGCCGACATTAAGAAATATGAAGTACCCATTTACTAGAAGCAGCAATTATTTTTGCTTCATCTTTCCAATATCATACCATTAAACATTGCAACTAACATTTTATTCCACAATTTGCTGTTACAAATATTTGAACGTAGATATGACCAGAATTCTGAAGCTCTGTATGTGCTATCTACAATGACCAAAATAAAGCAAATTAATTTTTAAAAGGACACATTTTGTCTAATGATATCTTGTTAGTTTTATATAACAGGAAACCTCATTTGTCAAATATCCTCCATTGTATCGTATTGTGACTCCCGAGTGGCGCAGTGGTCTAAGCCACTGCATCGCAGTGCTAGCTGTGCCACTAGAGATACTGGTTCGAGTCCAGGCTCTGTCGCAGCCGGCTGCAACCGGGAGACCCATGGGCAGCGCACAATTGGTCCAAGGTAGGGGAGGGTTTGGCCGGCAGGGATGTGGGTTCGTTTCCCACGGGGGGCCAGTATGAGAAAAAAAAAACCTGTATGCATTCACTAACTGTAAGTCGCTCTGTATAAGAGCGTCTGCTAAATGACGTAAATGTATTGTTTGTGCTAGAGCACAGGGCCCGTTTTGGAGGTAGATCACTCCAGGATACATCACAGCCACACAGTCTTGCGCCGGCCGGGGCAGGACCAGCCTCACCTCAAAGCAGCTGTGGAAGGACAGCCTGCACTCACAGCATCAGATCCTTGGAGAAGAGCCAGAGGGACTACTTAGCAGTCACGCATCAAAGCCGTTGGACCTGCTGGTTACAGACCCATGTTGGCACATTATGGCCACAACAGTCAATTTTCTTTCTTCAGCTGAAGGGTAGTTATCATTAGTTGCATTGGCAAATCAACATTTTATAAATTCAAATTTTAGAAGTTCAATATGTTTCAATACCTTCGGAGGAATCCTGCATGTTCTGATGGCAAGTAGACGTGTGGAGTGTGTGCGTCTTAGTATATGGATATGGCCAAAGTATCTAAATTACCCCTGGCCAATCTGAAACTGTTTTCTATTTTAAGAATGTATTGTCTCGATATTAGCTCTATAGTATCACTTGCAGCTGTAATTCCCTCCCGTCGTCTCCAGGCAGTATCCAGCTCATGACTCATCTGGTAATAAAGCCTCTTTGTTTAGCCAGCACTAACTCTCAGCAGTTTCCACCAATCTTCAGACCCATGTACATGTACACATTAATCTGACACGGTTGCACTACTGAGTTGTACAGAGGATAACATTTCACACCATCTTTCATATGGCTATTGCAGATTTTTTTTTCCTCTGAAATAATTTCATTTCATTATTCAGAACACCTGTGTGTCACTATATAGCTCACTAACAGCATTGAGGTAAAAACACAATTAACATTCAACAGTGTTGGTGTTATTATCCTACATTAGATTGTTCTGCTTGTCAGGATTACAGAGCAGCATACAGGTAGAAATGCAAGAACATGTTACAGCAAAATGCTTTCAGATTATCGACAAATTATGTGCATGTCGAATATTCATTAATGTAATCACAAATTGGGCAGGTAGATGTCTATTGTGGTCCTCTGTAGCTCAATTGGTAGAGCATGGCAATGTAATGCCAGGGTAGTGGGTTCGATCCCCGGGACCACCCATACGTAAAAATGTATGCACACATGACTGTAAGTCGCTTTGGATAAAAGCGTCTGCTAAATGGCATATTATTATTGTGTTAAACCCATAGACTTAGACATCGCATCATTGTATCTGTCCCAATATGGCGTCTGCATTTCGGCACTAGTCTCCTCAGTCTATCTCTATGGTTGAACCTGGGCAGAAGAGTGTGTGGCAGTAGCATTGACTCAGCACTTTCTTAGATTGGCCTATGACCTGAATCCTGGGATTTATGCTAAACTGGGCCAGGATTACTACCTAGTCCTTCTTCCTGTCATTGAAGGGCAGGGTGACAGTCCCAGACATACAGTTTACACCTGGGAACCAGACAGGTAGCTTTACAATTTATTCCATTCCATTTAGACAGTAGAACACACAAGGGTATAGACAAATATTTTCCGATTTGAGATTTTAACACCTCTTTAAAATTATACAAATGTTTCAGCTAAGTTTCACAGAGGAAGTTTGTGAAACATCTGGGTAAAAAAAAGAGAAGACATTTGGTTGAATTTGGATGTGTTTTGTGAGTACTGGAAGTTGTTAGTATTACACTAATAATTGTAAACATCTTAACAAATATATCAGAGAAGAATAATGTAATATATTAAACTAATTATGTTTATCATTAATGTATTATTCTTCTAACATGACAGAGTAGATCCATAGACAGTTCATTTCAGGATGGTGTCTTCAGAGGCTGTGGGGGAGAAAATAAAAAAAACATGCTTCACACATGTTCAAATCAAACATTTCTTCAGTTACATCTGCACTGTATCCCCTAGCTGATGGTATCATACGGTTCTTATGCTGGGATAACCGTTGATCTCAGGCAGCTGTATAAGCATAGCAGGAGATTTTCCAACAACCTTTTCTTGGCGACACTTTCTTTGTTCTCGATTAGGAGAGGCACCGTTGCCTTATAATACTTATGTGTCCAGTTGCAGGTGGTACCCCAAAAAACAGAATATTCAGACAAACATTCAATCCAGTTTTTGCACCGCGTGAGGAGGTTCCTCACCATCGAAGCTGCTGCACATCTCGCATTTCCCAACATTTTTGCAGGAACTAGTCGTTTATATGCGATGTAGCCAAGTGTAGAGGTAGATGACAGCGCGTCACACAGTGTGACCAAAACAATGATTTACATTGTTAAAATAAAGGTTCAATAGATTCAAAAATCTCACTCGATTAATATTGTTCCGAATATTCTCTGGTTTTTGGAGTACCACCTGCAACTGGACACCGAAGTTTATAACTCTCCTAATCGTGAACGAAGAAAGTATCGCCAAGAAAAGGTTGGTCGAAAAATCTCCTATGCCTATACAGCTGCCTGAGATCAACAGTTATCCCAGCATGATAAGAACTGTATGATACCATCAGCTATTCATCTCCCCTAACATTGAGGGGTTTATTATTTACCTTCCGCAAGCGCTTTGGCTATTTTCTCCTGTTCTTCTCGTATCTTCTTCTCTGCTTCCTCAACCCGCCTCTCTTCCTCAGCTCTTGGCTTCAGATAGTCTGTAAGGGAAATGCAGAGATGACATTCAGTGACATTGCAATAATGATCATTCAAAATACCTTCGGGTGACATTACCACAATCTTATATCTTGTAGGGAGGCAGGTAGCCTAGCGGTTAAGAGCGTTGGGCCAGTAACCAAAAGGTCACTGGATTGAATCCCCAGGCCGACTAGGTGGAAAATCTGTTGATGTGCCCTTGAGCAAGGCACTTAACCTTAATTGCTCTT